CCATGGATACACAATACTAGAGCATTACAGAGATAAAGGACATTATTGCACAAGAGTGGTTTGTGCTACCGCTTAATAAGAAGTCAGTTTTTAGTGGGACCAATGGCTTTGGCTTTGATTTTTCTCAACTTTACTTTGAACTCTTTTGAATCTGCAGGACGATGTCGTGGAGGCTAATACTTCATAGAACAAATGGGATAAAAGAGCGTTTTCTTCATTTTATTCTAGGTTAAACTGAGGAAAGAACTGACTTTCCTGAGGCTTTTAAATTGTCATGGAAATGTATTGATGTATGGAAGTCCAGAGATAACTTTTACCCAACTATTTTTACTTTTGGTTTGAAAATTAGCTGTTTTTTTCCCCCACAGATTGTCGGGAAAATGCTCAACTTTGGTACCGAATGAACTAAAAAGCATCTCGACTTTTAATTTGTTGCCAGGGAAATATTTTTTTTGCACCTTGCAGTTTTCCACAGTTTCAGTGTGAGTTACGGTTTTGCTCACTTGCAGCCTCAGCATTTCCGCCTCAGTTTGTCCACTGATACTGTAGTTTACCTCAGATCCCTCTGAATGCCGGCTAGTTTTAAACAGGTTCTTAAGAGGCACCTGTGATGCTAGCTGCATTACTGCTGACCCAAAATAAGAGCCAGATCTTCATTAGAGTAGCTGAATCAGTGCAGATCAGAATCAGTCATTCCTTTCTTAAGAACTCTTTACTCCTCTTCTCTCCAGTCCTTTGCTTCCACTTTTCTCTCTGGGATTCTGCTCTGTAAAATGATTTTTTTTTTTACCCAGAATCCCCCTGGGTAATTAGTGCTGTGATAATAACTGGTGTTGGAAACAAACACACCCACTTGCTGAACAGTGCACACAAACAGACGCACACAGACGAACATACGGCGCATACGTCCGTTCGTGGGCTCAGTTGCGTAAAGTATCATTACACAAACAGCAGAACAGGAGGAACAAATGCATTTTGAACTAAATTAGCTTTGATGCTGAGGCTTTTAAAAAAATACTAAAACATTGGTGAAAAACAGGTGTTTGCTCAGCAACCTCCCTTGTGTGAATTCTGACCCTGGAAGAAAATACACTCAATTTTTCACCTGAAGTCAAACCAAATCTTCTCTGCACTGGTCAATAAAGCTCAAATAGATGTTTGCACATGCCATTTACAAAGCAGTCAATGTCATTTTGTGATGAGAATTACAGGCTTCCTACGCCGTCTGGAGATTCTTTTTGGGGGGTTTTGTCGCAGCTTCAAGTTTCTCGACTTTATTTCATATCTCATTGACGTAGTTGTCATTTCTTCTTTCTGTCCTTCAACTGTCTTCCTTTCTTTTCTTTCATCCTTGATAGTTTTCCTTCCTGTATTTATTTTCTTCCTAGTTTTGAGTTTTCTCTTTATCAATATCAGAAATAATTTGATATAGGGCTGCACCGATTGCAGTTTTCTAGTCGATCATCGATTTTTAAAAAGCCTCACTGGCTGATTCCAAATTTGGCCAATACAGATGATTTTTTTGTTTGTCTGTGTGAAAAGTCTTTGTGGAAAAGATTGGTTTTGTATGTAAGTATCATCCAATCACCCAAAATTAAGGAAATAATCAGGGCCAATTTACTACTTTCATTAACAAAATAATTTTAAAATATAAATATGTAACTTCCTAGAGTTCTCAGTCCTTAAGTTTGGGAAAGTCTGGAGTTCATTGCTTGGAATACATGAAGGAACTTTGGACTTGTTTATTCTCTTCATGTCTTCACTGCATAAATCTGAAATATGCATAAAAACATCCAAGAATATTGATCACCTGTCCAATTTTGCATCTTTGTGTAACATATTTATAAATATGAAGCATTGTGGTTTAACTATACACACTAAAATGATGTTGCTTACATTCTTTATTAGGTTAACGCACAACTGTGATTAAGGCTTTAGTATGCTCCCAGCTTTTATAATTATGAAGTATTGTTGTTTATATTTTCCATTCATTTTGCTCAACAAATTAAATCTCATCAGTCTAACAGTAGACATAACTTTGTTAGAAACATTTTGCTGAACAGGAATAGAGAAAAACCACAATCAGCCAAAGCTGATTTACTGAAATAAAAATAATTCACACGCCTTGAACTTTTAGCTTTACATCACATTATGACCACAAAGTCGTCAAGAGAAAGTTGAGTGTAGCAACATTAAACAAGGTAGGATCATCTATTCTTATTCATTTGTAACTCAAGTAAAATTACAAAAAGATTACTAAAAATAAAAACAACTTTATTATTCTTTATTATTGTGCTGTGAATGTAAATTGAATGGAACATTCTCACATTTGAACCGCCGTACCGCTATGCGTCCTGTCGGCAAATTGTGTATTGTGCCAAAACTTGAGATTACTTTTTCCTTCTTGTGTATGAATTCGTTATTTTTAGGCCCTTAATTGACGAGGGACGAAGTGCCGTCTGTGTTGATTTAGAGGGTTTTGGCGCGTTATCTAACATGCTAATGGGATCTCCTGGCTGATCATGGCTGGTGTGCATGCATGTTAGAGACCGCAATTCAAAAGATAACAACGTCCATGCGTGTGCGCACCGCATCGCCGTAGAGAAAAAAAAAGAGTGATGAGAGAAATACAAAGATAAGAGCAGGCAGGCAGGGAGGGAGGGAGAGAATCCCCTGCTGTTTTTCCAATCAGGAGGCGTCGTCCTCCTCACTTGGTGATTTATTCTCTCTCCCCCTCTCCTTCATGTCCCAATTTCCACCCTTTCCCCCCCTCCATCCCTCTCCCCCCACACACACGCACCCGCCCTCCATTTCTTTCATTCATTTCTGCCTGTCTCCTTTCTGTGGGCAGCTTGTGAACATAGCTATTTAGAAACGACGACAGAAACGCATTCGGGCAGGCGCTTCTGTGAGAATGACTCACCTGTAACGCCTGGAGGTTTTCATCCCGGCTCATTCTTACAGTTCACTTATTCTTTTTTCCGAGTACGCTTTGGAGGAGTTGTCGCTGCCTCCGACATCACATTTCTTTTATTCTAAAAGCGCTGTTAAATGATGCATGACCTAACTGACCAGCATTAATAAGTTTCTGGCACTGCTTCGTGCCCACCAGGAAAGACCATTCTTCTTAAGCAAATGAATAATAAATCCAGGGTTGCAGGTCAGGACTAAATACATTTATAATTAGGTTATTCAATCTGCGAATGAAAAATAGCAAGCAGTTCAGGGAGCAACCGCTCTGTTGATATGAATCAAAATCATTTGTTTTCATGACGGGGGGGGAAAAGAAATTGAGGTTTTATTCATTCATTATCACCTGTCTTGTGTTTTGCTGCCAAGCAGTGGTTTAGTCACATTTCATACCCCTCCGCTCATTCCCCAGAGCCACAAGTGTGTGTCTGATCTGCCTGGAGCCGCCTATACCTTTAATAACCGTGTCACTCCTCTGTTAGCGTGAGTGGATGTGGTAGAGCATGAGATGTGGCACATTATTGCTCTGTTAGATTACCAATGCGAGTGTTTATGCGTTTGTGTTTATCTGGGAGGCCTCCCCGTAGACGCACACCCGCTGACCCCTCCCTCTCGGCGCTGGTTGGTTGCCACAGCTACAGTGTCGCCTCTCTTCCTCATGTTGCTATGAGACTCGGACCGACAGACCTGAGCTGAATGACAATGCGTCTGTGGATCTGGCAAGAGGCCTACAGGAACCAATAAGAGACGGCGCAGAGACGAACACTTTCCAGTCTGGGACCGCGGGAGTGCATGTTTGGGTTGGCAGGAGCCGTCTCGTCGTGTTAGTTCTTTTGTCGCAGCATTAAATAATTATTACAAATTCTAAAAGTGTTGCTTAAGATATTCTGACAAAAAAAAAAAAAACCTTAATGTCAATAAATTTGCCAGGGTTAAATGAAGTTTAGTATAGAGATCAGTGTGACTGAGTTTCATCCTGAAATACATAATTAAACAATGTAACCAAATTAAACACTTGTAAAAGTTAGCTCCTGTAAGTACCTCAATCGTCAAAGTTTTTTATATGTGTTTTCGTCATACAATTTCCACCTTTCTTTAGTTTGTATGGCTCAGTCTGTAACTCGTACCTAATTCTTTTCTTTATTTCCTGTGTTTTTTGTTTCTGAAAAGGGTTAGTTTTCTCACTATTTTGAGAAAATTAAGCTGTTATTGTTGCAGTTAATATGTATTTTGCTACTTCGACCAAAAAAGCTTGTTTTGCTCATAACTAGAAATTGGAAAGTATTTGCAGAAGTATGAAGAAGTAAGCAATATCCCAAAACGGAGAAGGAAAAGAAGGACATGCATTACAAAAATGAGTTTGGTACCAAAATAACTTTTTTTTTAACTTTTCTTCTGTTGATCTAGAAATTAAAAAAATAGACATCAGTATATTTTTGATATGGACTACGTTGAGAAACAAACTCGTGCTGATTTGCATTCTGAAAATCTGAGATCCAGATACTCACAGCTGCTTCATCTCTGACCTTCTCAAAGGAAGACGATGCTATCAGACGGCCTGCTCGTGGCTGCAGGGACAGTCGGTAGCACTGGCAGACAGGATTTTTTCCCCTAGTTAGAATAACACCATGTCCCAGCACTGAAACACGCTCCATGGAAGAGAGTTTTGACACCTAGCAGCCGAGCAGATGTGGGTGGGTAGGATGAGCTGTTTTGAGCTCTGTGTCACAGGAATCAGTCTGCTTGCTGTTTTTTGTTTTTTATTCGTCTGGTTTGTAGATGTCGAAGGAAAAAAGAATGGGGTGCTTTTTGTTCATATAAATACCATGAACAAAAATCCGTTTAATTCTCAAAAATATGAGTCAGCCTAAGATTTTTTTTTTTTTTTTTTTTGCGAAAATAGTCATAATGTTACAAGAATACAGTCATAGCAATACGAAAATAAAGTCATATGACAATAAAGTTCACGTAATAGGAGAATGAAGTCTTATAGGAAAAGCAATTAAATAATCCGATCTCTGTCTCCTCAGGAACTGTTTACACCTGAATGCAAGTTTAAAGAGTCGGTGTTTGAGAACTACTACGTGATCTACAGCTCCATGCTGTACAGACAGAAGGAGTCGGGCCGGGCGTGGTTTCTGGGCCTCAACAAAGAGGGACAGATCATGAAAGGCAACAGGGTGAAGAAGACTAAACCAGCTGCACACTTCCTGCCTAAGCCCATAGAAGGTAAAAAAAATCAACTTGTGTTTGTTTTTACTCGTTTTCTTATGTTCTAAATCAAACTTTCCCTTCTTCTTCCTGTCTTTTATAGTTGCGATGTACCGTGAGCCGTCATTGCACGATGTAGGAGAGGCGGTGCCTAAACTCGCAGGGGGCCCGCCTTCTAAAAGCACAACCTGTGAGCCTGTGGTCATGAATGGCGGCAAACCAGTCAGCAAACCCAGTAAGGAGGAGACATAACCCCACCTCTCATTTTTAGCCTCCCTGCCTGCCTGGCTGGCCGACTGACTGGACGCCAGGAAGCACCACAGACTTGCCCTGCTGCTGCGCTCTTGAAAAAAAAATCAGATAAAAAAAGAAGAAATGCAAGAAAAGGTAACAAAACAAACAAACAGCTATAAGCTCTGACTGGACAGCGACAGGGGCTGGACCTCAGCCAACTGGACACTGGTGTGGGGCGGCGCCAGGGGGACGGCGCTCCCGTTAAGAAGGTTGCTGAACTGGGTGAAATGGGACAGTGGCGTAAGTTCTCAGTTAAAGGACATAAAAAAAACAAAAGTCCTTGTTCACTTATTTATTTATTTACTCATTCATTTATTGAAGCTCCTGCTTTCCTCTGCTGAAAGTTTTCTGTTACTTGCTTGCTCCAGGCCGCAGACACACATCCACTCAAACTCCGCTCCACTCCAAATCGACCGCTTGGATTCGATCTTTAAATACATTAAAAGCATCAGCAAACACCGGAGAAAGACCATTTTAAATACCAAACAGTGATGATTCAGAGGAAAGCTTAATCATCAATCACTTAGGATTTGGAACAGGATGTTCTGTACTTAAACTACATCAAAACACATCAGGAAACGACACGTTGCATACGGTGAACTCGCCATTCGCCGTCTCCCTCACTACACGTCTCATCGAGAAGACACAAAACTAGTTCAGAGAAGACAAAACGAGTCTTCACGTGAAGATGATTTATAACGAATTCCCAATTTGTAGCAGCAAGGTGTGTATCCGAAGTTTGCAGGTGCTGCAGCACCTTGGTAGCAGTCTGTGTTTACATAGGGTAGCAGATTTAGATTAATATGATCAAACGGTGTCCTCAGCCAGGAGGACTTTTGTAGACTTTTTCCTTTACTCGTTGCCTTCCCAAGTACTTGAAAACAAAAGAAGAAACAGGGTATTTGAACGTGGAAAGAGCCTGTGTTACTGGGACCACTATAATCCAGGTTAATAGTCCAGGATTTTTAGAGTTTAACTATATGACGTTGAAATGAATTTAAAGGTCCTAAAGTGTTATCAGCTGATACCCATGAAGTAGCATTTATAAGATGTTCTCAGACTGTTACTGCTGATTCAGTTTTTGCTTGTGGATTCTTAAAACTGAGCTTACGTTCTGCTTTTAGCACAGTTTTCAGATTGTTTCGGCTTGTTTGTCCTGTCGCCCCTTTGCCATTTTGTACCTCCGTTTTATACCGACCTCTTCCCGTATCAAAATAGTTGTCATATGTTATGAATCCCTTTGACCTGCTTTAATTCTCACATTTAGTTTGCTATTTACAATTAAAACCTCATTTAAAATTAAGAAAATTTGGAGAAAAAAAAAGAAAAGATTCTTCAGCTTTGTCCCTGTATTCATCTGTTAAATTAGAGGTTCTTAAGCCAAAAGCCTTTTCAGATTTTTCCTATCATATTTATAGCATAAAAAAATCTTACTTAAAAAATATTTTTCCCATTCTTACAAATATTATCTCACCAAAATGCCCAGAAGACGAGATGCAAAATGTGTAAAACGTGGTAAAAATGTTGGTTGTCACGTGTGAAACATGGTAGGAAATGGTGAAGGGACGAGCTGACCTGCAGCCTTTATATGAGACTGTGAATGAAAAGGAGAACAGCTGCGGAGCACAAGACACTTTTTTTGGATTTTCCCTCGTTTCTTTTTAAGTTGAATTCTTCCAAGAAGGTCGAAGACAAACTCCGTCTACAAGACTTAGGACTTAGTGCTTCTGATGGGGTTGAAGTAGTTTGATTACACTATTTATATTTTATTTTGAAAAACAAACAAAAAAAAAAAACAAAAAAAAAAGACCTGGAGCAGAAGTGCCACATTAAAAAATACATCTGAATTTCCGAATTACCTGCCAAAGTGAGAGGCTTCAACATCGCAAACAGGCATTTTTATTTCAGAAAGTCCCCCAGTGTTTACTCTCTTGCTCATTTACTCAGTTTTACTCAATTCCATTTTTCATGTTTCACTTGCTTTGATGTCAAATAATTATGTCTGTTCCTGAATTACTGCAACCCTCCTTTCCTCAATTACTGATAACTCCTCCTAACACTTAAAACAGTAGGTGCCTTTTTCGGCTGCAGTCTGGCCGTCACCGATCCACACAACTGTAAAACCAGACAAAATTGATTTATTTCTGAACTCGACCAATTGAAACTGTTTATTAGTACTTATTTTTCGTCATATGTATAATTTTGATCCACAGTGGCTTAAAGAAAAGCAGATCAGTTCCCGCATGTAGTTTTAGGCCTTGCATGAATGTACAATCCAAGTTTTATTTTCCAACTCTAACCTTTCCGCCTCCATTACAAATTGGCTATAAACCAGCCTGCACATTTACTGATGAAAACTCAAACTTAAAAGCGACTTAAATGTATTTAATGATTACCGTTACACAGGCACAGGCCAATGTGAGATCTAATGTTGGCTTTTTTTTTTTACTCAAAATACCACCATATCAGGACTCACAAGTAAATTTGAAGTGTAAAACATAGTCTTATGTGTATTTATAACAGGTATTTGTATTGCTGCAAGGATGCCGAACTGCAGTGATTTTTACTTGAGATGCACTGAGAACGTGCCTGGTGACCAGAACTGGTCATAAACAAATGGAGGTTCATTTATTTTGTAATCCAGCAACGCCTCATAATTCCTAAAAATAACTATCTATGAGACATGAAGTCCTTCCTAACAGCCAGTAATAATAATAATAATACATATATTTTTAAGGGAATAAAATGTAGGCGAAGTAAAAGTAAAAGCCTTCTTTCAGTTTTTTCATAAAGCTTGAAAAAAACTGATAATTCTTGCACTTTCTCTGGCATCTCCCTAAAAGGACTTTGAATTGTTTACCTTAATTTTTTTGAAACCAGCCCTTTCTCACTGACACCAGTAGTTAATTAATTGTCCTGAAATCCCCAAAGTAACACTTGAGTTTGTGAGAAAAAATCCTAAAGCCAACCTCTCACTGTGAAAGCCAGTTTGTTCTGGGACTTTTCTGTTTCCTCATATTTCTTTGACCGCAAGACTAGACGCCAGTCGCTTCCTCCTCCAGATATCCCAGGAGGAGATACTGTCATACTGTGATCCCACTTTGAGATTAATGGCAGGCGCATATTAATGCATTCAGGATCTGCTTATTAAAGCAATTAAAACAGACACTGTGTATCCCTTCTCGCTTTGAATCTCAATTTTGGACCAAAATAACCCCTTTTGCATTTTAATCAGATGATTGAAACACTGTCCTGTTTGCGGAAGATTAATGACCTTTGTCGACGTTGCCACAACTACAAAGCGGCAACGCGACAAAGCAGTCTCCCTGCAGAAATCAAGGCTGCTGTGATTCATTCGCACATCAAACGAGCAGCGGCGTCTCAAGCCTTGGCAACAGGTCTGTATCTGTTCAGCAGGTGAAGCGGCGCGCGCGGACGTTGTTTATCTGAGTCGGATGTGGCCGGGTGCTACAGACCTCGCAGTGTTTCCAATTGACATTTCAAAGATTCGGTTCTCACGTACACCACGTAATTTCTCTCCTTCGCCGAGCTCATTAGCTGCTTCTCGCATTCATGCACAAATGTGGTCGAGCAGCACATCTTATTACATGAGCCATCATTGGGACTGATGTGGTCACCGAGGTGTTGTCTTTTCGCCTTTAAATGGGGGGGCTTAATGAAATATAAACCAGTTTCTGTGCTAATTTGTAAAGACAATAAAAAAGGAGAGGAAAATGAAAAGAAATGGCAAAGCGAGTGCCTCTCATTAACCCAGCTTGGGTCAAGCTGTAAGATCCAGCTGTGGCTCCTTAATTTCTCTACCCTCAAAGTTTGACTTTAGCTTCGTTCTGTCTAATGTTCTATGGAATAATGTTAATGAGGAACAAGTCTGGTGCTGTGCTCGTCTCATGTCAAAGAAATGTGGATATAACATTTATTTATTAACTGTTGTGTCACAGTTGGGGGCAAAAAAAAGATAAAATAAACCCTGACAATCACATACAGTGGCTTGGAAAAACTATTTATATCCCTTAAATGTTTTCACATCTTGTCACGCAAAGATTTCAAAACATTTTATCAGTTAAAGTGAGTTCATTCAACGCAGTTTTATTGGGTTTTTGCGAAAAAAAACCCCAACAACAAACAAACAATAAAATGAACAAATTCATGGTGACAGAATGTGAAAAAGTTTCAGAGGTACAAATAATTTTCAAGTCGGTATACTCCCATTTATTTTTTTGTGTCTTGTATTGTCTCAGCTGTCCGTCTCTAAGCAGAACCTTATCTGTCAGACATGATACGAGGTGATTTGACTGTTTTTGTTCAAATATTACGCGACACTCGCAAAACCTTCAAATCTTACCAAGTATTTTTTGCTGTAGTTTCTAGCACAAACATCTTAGTACACTTGAAATAAGACAAAACTAACTTACAAGTAACTTTTCAGGAAGATATAGGTGTATGTTTTAAGTCAATAATTCCTTAACATTGATTTAAAAAAAAAGTTCCAGTTCTACTTGCAGATTATTTCATATGTAACATGGGGAAAAAAAGTCTAACAGCAAATAATTTGCTACTGGAACTAGTACTGTTTTTAATCAGCATTAAGGAATTATTTGCTTAAAACAAAATAAAACATTCTGTTTAGTGAAAGATTTAAAGTAAACATGACGTAATTCTTGTCAACTTGTTCTTTGTGCTCATTTTAAACAAATGGCATGAACTCTTGGATAAATAGATTAAGTTGAGTCCATGCATAAAAGTATAGTATTTGACTGGCCAACAAGCTATCCCACAATGCAATGTGCCATGAGCAGCAGCAATTAATTAAACCACTTTTTTATTTGTCACAAAAAGTAGCTTGTTATGTCAAAGTTTGAGATTTTACCTTCAAGAAAATACTACATACTCAGATTTATTAAGCTAACTTAAGTTATGCTCACTAAAACTGTAAACCCAACTTATTGTATTGTTTACAGTGTATATCTTGCTGAAAAGCTACTTGTGAGTTAGCTTTGTCTTATTTCAAGCGCACTAGGATATTTGCACTAGAAACTGGACCAAAAGTACTTGGTGAGATTTTATTTTTGCAGCTGATAGCTTGTCCTTTTTACTGCTGGCCAGCTTAGCAAAGCAGCTTTACGTCTCCAGTCAGAGCAGCTCTGCTTGTTAGGGCAACACCAGGGTTCCCATCAAGCCAAAGTGGCTTGTGAAGATCTGTGGGGATACGCTCACAAATTAATACTGTTTAAAGGCGGAGGGAAAAAAAGGGAAAAATGAAGAAAAAGGCCCGGTGTCCTGGATACTGACCAAAGACGCTTCTCCAATATTTTCTTCTTTTTCCATGCTGCTAATCAGAGTTCAAAGAACCACTGGCACAATTACTGTCAGCATCTCCTGAGAGATTTCCTTTCCACTGGTGGTTAGCCAGGTGCCATGGCTACAATTATGAGCGACTCCGCTCCACACAGGAAGAGAGCAGCTGATTTAATTAGAAGTGAGCAATCGCAGCAACCAGGGTGACTTTTAATTTCCACATACAGGTACCCACTCATGCTCTCGTGGCAGCATGCATGTACCCATCTTAGTTCGCCTGCAAGTCAGGAGGCACAAAATGGACACGAGAAGAAAGAGGTAGAGATACACACACACACACACACACACACACAAAAATCCCTTTGTGATCTGACCACTGCAGCGCAGGAGCACTTTAGAGCCATGGGAACATGTAATGGTTAGCGCTTATGATGTAGCTGGCCTCCCTCAGGTTTTTTTCTTTTTTTTCTTTTTCTTTTTCTTCTTCTCGTTCTTCTCGTTCTTCTTGTTCTTCTTCTTCTTGTTCTTCTTCTTCTTCTTCTTCTTCTTCTTCTTCTTCTACTTTTTCTTCTTCTCCACTTTAGTCCTCTTTCAAAAGACTGCCTTATTACATCTGAATCTAAAGACAGCTCTCTCATCCCATTCTCTCCAGGCACTTAGATCCCACACTCTCATAGAAACACATGCAGCAGATACAACTTCAGCCTATTTTACGTTTCAATTATCCTTTGATCCCCCTCCTCCTCCACCAATCTTCTGTTCACTGGAACCGCGCTTGCCGTCGCTCTCTGCTTGTTGTGTAATCAAGCATCCGGAGATCTTTACTCCCACCTTCGTCACCTCCTCCTCTGTCTCGTCCTCCCCTCCGTTTGGAACGGTTCCCACTTGTTGCATGGATTTGAAAAGAGGAAAGATGGCAGAGGTGGTGTTTGTCGGGGTGGGTGGGGCTTATGCATGTGGTAATGTTATGAAATCAAAAGAAACACCAGTGATACTTGGGTGTTTTTGGCTCATATCTTGCTGCTAGTTTGCACAGTCGGAGAACATATAGGTGTTTTACCGTCGGACATGACTGGAAATCCACAACCGCAATAAAAGAAACCAACAGGAGGAATCCAGAGGTACTCTAATGCATGCCTAAATTTTACTCCGATGGCTCAAAACGTCACAATTATTAAAAATAAGTGCATGATTATGAAGCTTTGACATTCTTTGTGTCCCTTTAACTGTGATGGATTAAAATCAGCTTAAAAATTAAATTTCTTGCAAATTATACAACACATTTCTTTAAAATCCACTTGTCTCACTTGAGCAGAATTCTGTTTATTTTTTTTTTAGGTTTGCTTCTACCAGATGCACACACTTGGTTAAATTAGACACATTTTGCAGTGCATGAAATACTATAATATCCAGTTTTCCCTCTGTAATACAGGGTACCTGTGCGCTGAATATTAAGCCGGCTCGAAGAACATCTAATGTCAGAGCAGTGGCGTGTTTATCCTCCCTGTGCAAACCCCCACCAGCTATCAGCCAAAAGCTAAAGTGACTGGTGCCAACCTTTAAAGGAGATTACCTTGTGTGTCGGTAAATGTACAGTTAACTTTACATATTATGCAAACAGTTTGTCTGCACTGTACAGTTTGTGTCCAACCTATTGAATACACAAAAAACAACATTGAATAAAGGCTTTATAAAAAGGAGGTGAGTTTGGAGTTGTTCATTTCCTGAGGTATTGTGTTTCCTGGTGTAAGATTATCACAAGAGGATTTAACTTACATTTTGCATAATAATAATATATATATATTTTTCAACAGATAAGCAGTGTTCCAGCCTGGAAAACTGATGAAAAGTGTGGAATCTGATGTCAGTATTCAATCAGTGTGGAGAAAGGAAATAAAAGTAGGGAAGAACATGTGCACTTCTGCGCTGTTGTCTAAAAGCCGTGAGATGATTTATGTTTTTCATGTGTCCTTCCTCCCTCTTTCCATCCCTCTCTTATGACCTTACTTTTTCCTTTCTTGCTTTCATTCTTTTATCTGCTTTCTTTCTTCTGTAGATACACCAAATTAGCAAAGTTTGTTTACTTATTGCACAATTGGAAGCCAACTCTAGTTACCTTTGACAAATGTTAGCTCAGTAATATCTGGTAGTGTGTGTGTATGTGAAAACAGGATGAATTTGATTTTGTCCGAGTTAACTTGTTTTAAAGACCTTATTAAACCTCTATTTACTAGTTAGATTTAATTAGAGATATCGTAAATAGCTAGTTTGTACTATAAGCTGCTTTTGGCGCAGATAATGTGAAGCGACTGTTAGGCTGTTGAACTAACAAGGCGCAGACATTTAATTAAATGCGGCCCCATAAAGGAGGTGATAATGTCAGTTTCTTGTAAAGGTAGAACATATTTTTTTGTCAAGTATGTGTAATAGAAGCCAATAGAGATGCAGCTACTGCAGTAAAATGGGTTTTAATTGAGCTCCCTAATGCTACCACTCCCATCCCATTGTGTATCTGTCTCCTTTAAATAGTAATCATGTGGAGTGGGCCCAGCAGACTGCATTTAGCTGCTTCACTACAATTTGATATCCAGGAACAGAAACCAAGCATCATGCTGGCTTACAGCCCTTCTTAATTACCCAAATTGGCCCGTATGTTTATAATTTGTTTTAAATCTGAGCCCACACCTCGGAAGACATAAAATGCAACAGGAAGAGATGGATCCATGCACATAATTTGTGTCGTATCTGCAAATCGGCACCGTTTGAGACGAAATTCTCGTGCAAGTGTGTCGAGCCTCCAGAGCACGGCGCGACCCAGGTTGCTTTTGTTTGCAAATAAAATACGCCGAAGAAACATATTTTTAATCGAAACTACAAATCTCCTTGGGGCCACCGCCGCCCCCCCTTGTTGCAGATCCAAGGTCTGCAGACGGAGATGCAGCGAGAGAGAAGCTCCAGCGGCCTGAAGGCACCATTAAGCCCCTCCACTATCACAGAGACAGATTGGCAGCTTGACAGGCAGGAACACTCATCCCTCACCCACACTGTAACGCTTGGCCTCTTCTAAATGACAGGTGAACCAGCAAATACTGTAATTAGGTGGATGTGATTAAAATTTGCATATGTAAATGTAATATAAATGAAGTGCACTCTAAAGAGCAGCACTGTGTTTAATTAGTGAGGAAGGGGTGGGGGAGCTGTGGAAAACCTGCAGCATTCACATGATGGAGAATCTCGATTGCGGGTTTTTTTTTTTTTTATTAAAATCTTTCAACATCATATATCTTATATGTCTGTCTTGAGATACTTTATTACTTCGGGGCATTTTGTTTCACCTTTTCTAATATAAGCTCATAAGTTTCTGTCTTAGTGAGATCAGAAGGTCCCTGCATATATTTTGGTCAAAAAAAATTTCACACCATGTTCTCGGTTGCACTCGTAGATTCATCGCCCTGCAGATAAAGTCAACCAGATCAATTTAAACTGAGCAAAGAGATGTTAGGAATAGATTCAGTTGCTCATTTTATGCATTTTCTGGATGGCTTTTCAATCATCCCATCAATTCCGAAACTTAAGTTTTTCTGTTGCTGACGAAGGACACTGTGATATTTCCACCACATTTTTGGCACGTAAGCCATGGAGCACCTTCTTCCACATGCAGTGTCGATTTATAATATAAAATCTCAGTAAAATATGTTGAACTTTGTAGCTGCACTATGTCAAGATGTGAGAAGAGCTATAGGGAAATTTATTTACACTTATAAAACCTTCATTCACACATTCATTTGCTACCTTAAGTGAGATTT